TTGGCTGGAACACTGTTTGTTAAGTTTCGTGGTCCGGGTGAGACATGATTGTTTTTGTTGCCGTTTGTGGAGCCTGTGGTGTCTACAGAGACCGCGTTTTTTTACAGTGTGTTTAGGGGACAGGCAGCTAGCCGATAGTGAGGAGACGTTTGATGTATGTGACAAAAAATGTTTTGGCCCCACATCGCTTAGAGAACCTTTAAATAAAATCATAGCTATTTTTTTAGAGATATTTTAATGTAAATTATAGTAATGTTTCTTTTAACGTTTCACTATTAAGAGAGGTTTGTGTTCATTTTCTATTGATCATGGAAGCAAACACCCTACAATTGTTTTTAGTACCTATAGATTAAAGTGATGCCAGAGGAAGTATTTTTATTTTTTTTTTCATTTGGACACAATATCAAAATCTTACAGCAGAAGTCCTATTTCCCTCTCTGTCTCTCTTTCTCCTCACTGTCATCCACTGATCATTTCCACAGTAGACAAGCGAGTGCCTGACCTCCACATTACCTCATTCACCTGCTCAGGTGTGCCGAGTTACAAGGCGCACTGCACTGCTATCTAGACAGCTCTAACAAGAAAAGGAAAAAGAGCCATCACTCCTTCCCGAACAGGGCTGAGATGTCAAAGGTCACCCTGTACTCCTTCCCCAGACTCATTACGTCATCTCATCCACGTCTTTTTTTTTTCTGTCTTTCTCAAACCCCTCTCCCTTTTTCTCCAATGGCATTTATGTAAACACAGCTGTGTTGTTGACATTAAAGGGCCTTGTTCTTTTTGATCCCCTCTGAAAAATCTATGGCCCTCTTTCCTCTCACTACATCAGAGAACACACGCGTCCGCTACAACAACCACAAGTGCAACTGTATCTGCTTGAACTGCAGGTGCTGTTCTTCATGTTCTGCATGGCATCAAATAAACACATATTGCACCACTACGAGTGGATTGAGAGGGCCGTTAGCACTCGCCGCACACAATCGTCATGTGGCCGCCAGCAAACAGCCAACAGGGAAGCAAGCATGCGGTGAGACGTACAAGTAAATTGAGAGTCAACATAATCAGGAGCTTCTCAGCGAAGCATAGAGGCTCAAATTTTACCAATGAGAGAAAAAAAAAACAAGATGTGTGGATTAGACCGCGTCAAAAAGAAAAAGTGCCTACGAAAGATGTTGAAACACAATAGATGGGCCGCAGTGGGGGCCCCTGGTGTAGACTTTCCCCAGGCTGTTTGTCTCATTAGGGACTCATATTGATTAATAACATCCCTGGAAACCAGCCGTATTAGCCGAATTAGGAGACCGGGGGGAATTCAGAGGGAAGAGAGGAGGGGATAACCTTGCACTAGCCCAGGGCTCTCTCTCGCGGTATTTCCCCTCTCTCACGATGAATGAAATCAAGCCTGCTAGGCACCCGGTCTCTGAACCCTAATCCAATATCATTAGTATTCTCATGTTTGGCTTGGCAATGCCTGAGGTGATTAATGTGGCCATGGAGTTGACAGAGAGAGATCATGAGTTGTGTTGATGGTCCGTTTCACATAATCAGATGTGGGTTTGTGATTGATTCTTTCGTTAATTCGCACAGCCTCCCTCTACCGTTCACTTTTCTTCCTGTGATTTTATCTTTTCCTTTTTTTTTTCCATCGGGCTACTGTGTCATATAATCTGGCTCGTTCACAGTGAAATGCACTCCAGTTGTTATTTGCTTGTGTACTGAGAGTGAAAATATAGGGAAGTAAGGTTTTTAATGAAGCATACATTGTGTATAATGCTCACCCTGAGAGGAAGAGACTGTTTACAGGCTGTCATGAACCTTCAAATCTCAGGCTTGACCTTTATTGAGAATCCATAAACCATTTTGAAAAATTATTAGAGGTTGATCCTTGCCCACTTCTAGAAATCTGGAATATGATTCTCACCGTTTCTTGTTTATCGGTCTGTCTGTCTGTCATTTAAGCTAACAAAATAGTGTGGAACCTCTGTCCAAGATTGATTAAATTAAGTACATTTTATTTTATTATTATTATTTTTATTTTTAAATGCAGTTGTCACTTATTTAGTCAACTGTGCAGACTGATCTCATGAAATGGCGTATGTATGACACGCCAATTCGTATTTTCTTTTTTTGGCGTGCTATCAACACGCATAATCGCTTTTCAGCGTGTTTATGAACGACATTGACTTAACGTTACATTACTGTATATATCAATATATGACCTAACCCAACCCCATCCCTAAACCTACCCGTCACAGGGGTTAATAGCATTATGAGTCTTCCCCTACCATTCTAGGGGGAGAAAAAATCACTCCCCAGATGTAGATGTACATTTATCTCCGTTTCACTCGGACATTTAACGGCGTAGACATACACGCGGTTAGCTCAAAATACGTATAACATGCCACTAGACTTGAAAGTGGCATGTATGTTTACGCAAAAGTCATGATGTCATGTTGCACTGTGAATGTAACCATATTTAACAAGACTGAAAAAAAAAAAACCAAAGCAATCATCCTATCATTGTATGAGAACAGATAAACACCAGAAACAGAAAAATGTATAAATCTTGTTTTGTTTTTCGGTATTATGCGGATCAGTCTTGGACTTGATGAGATATTTAAGACTAATATATTTGACTATGAATATTCATTAACCATGTTTTTAAATTCATCTCCCTGTCTGAATCTCTCAGCGGTATAGAAGAACTTGTAAATTCTGGACTGAGCTGAATATCTGTGGACTTATTAGGTTAGGTATGAGGGCCAGCTGTTTTGGTGGAGTGGGTCTGCTGAGTGGACGCTGATGAATCCTGTCTGATAATGAGTGTTAAGCATGCTGAGAATCCACGCACATTTCAATCATTACAACTCAACCTCCAAGGAGAGAGGAATGCAGAAGGGGGATGTAGACGCAAGAAAAAGCACAAAGGGCCTCCACGGTAGAGTGAAAATCTTCATTTTTCTCTACAGGCTCAGCACTGCGAGTCTTGGCATAGACAAACGGCAGGTATCACCTTCCTCCAAGCCTGGGCCCAAAGCAGTCGCTGCTCTTTACGCTTGAAGGAAACACTTAACGAAGCTGATGTGTTGGAGAAAATGTGTCTATGTGTGTGTGTGTGTTTGCTTGTAGAAATAAAGCCAGGACCAGAAGTTCCTCTGTGTAGAACCGGATCCCGGCACATCGAGGGCTATTGAGGGACCAGGACAGGGGGACGCAGGAACAAAATAATGACGAATGGTACTGATTGGACATCTTGTGTGAATTAAAGTGGGTTTGACTCTGCTCCTTGTCCCTGTGTGCGGCAGATCGGATAACAAAGCCAGGCTTGTGAAGGTAAACCGATCCTATCACCAGACTCCATTCGGCAGCTCCACAGGTCTGTCCACAGAAACGTTTTTCTGTTTCTCTGCGCTGAAAGAGGAGAGCAGTGGACACACACACACACGCACACACAAATAAGCACCTACATATTTTGGACACACACAGCTATATACTTACTGCTTCACACACACATTCAACAGGCCGTGAAATGGGGGCCTTATCAGGCTGACGGCAAATGAGATGTAAAGGGTATTTTCAGGTATGCACATTCCTTCCTGTCATCTTCAGGAGCATCATTTGTTTCAGTTTCCAGGAAAGAAAACTCCACAGGATTTTTCTCATCATCTTGTCCTTGAGGTGCAGAAAAAAAAAAATTAAAATAAATGCATTTAACTCTCAATAGATCCACACAAGCTACAGTAGGCTATAACTCAAATTTTGCAGTCAATAACCCATACAACATCATTTTAATTATGTATAATAATACCCAGGTAAAGGTGGAGTGGATTATTAAATGATTATTCATTTAAAGACAATCATTTTTTGTCTATCCTGGTATATTGTTCGGCACTGTGCTGTTGTGCTATGCCAATATCAAAACATACTTTACTTTTATACCATATACCATAGTATTCTGTTCTGTATTCTACTATACTATGTTATACTATAGACTACTGTTTTTCCTTCACAAAGCAGTTAAGCTTGCATTTATGTATAATTACCAAACTGTTTTCTATTTCAATTTTAAAATGTAATTTTATTCCTGTGATGACAAAGCTGAATTTTGGTATACTATGGAAGAGTGTATAATACCAAACCATTCGTACCTTACTATACTATACACATATCATATACATAGCCTACTGTTCACTGTTACAGCGACTGATTTTATCAAATAATGATTTTTCTCTTGTTTTCCATTAAAAATAACTTTACAGTCTTTCCATTCATTAACACAAGGAGGATACATTTACTTATGAAGCAAAGACTTGTTTTCAGAGAATAGACCATTTTGCAAGATCCAGAAACACCTCCTGTTTCAGTTTGCAACTGTTTTCTTTATTTCACATGTAAAGAAAACATCTTAAAGATGTTTGTTTAACTTTTTGATTCAGTTTTATATGTTCTGTTGGTTGTATTTTATCCCAGCTTTTATGTAGTGTTAAAAAACTAAATCAGGAAGTGCTTCTGGACCAGCGTTGTTTACATCTTGCAAAATGGTCTATGTACTGTATCATTGAGGTTTTTTCCTTGTTGTAACTTGTGAGCATAAAACTTACCACATTTTGTTAGATCTATGCTTAAAAGGGGGCTTTTTGCCAGTTGAAAAAACAAAAAAAAGAGTAAAATATGCCATTGCTTTGAGCATTTCTTGTTGACCATAAAAATGTTCTCATTACACACACCCCTTCTTTCATAAGAAACTTTTTTAGGTAAACAGACTGAGCAAAACATATTCACCTGCTAACAGAGCTGCAGTAACAGCTGGAGGAGCCCAATATATTTGACAGTCATTCACATCGCTGATATTTTCCTCCTTATTAAAGAACTGAACAAATACAATGAAGGTAGTGTGTCAACACAGCTAATATGAGTCGAGAGAATGATTCACGTCAAAGTGCGCAACATCAGCACTTACATTACACATAGAATGAACAAATCCGGCTGCCAGCAGAGCACTCAAGATGGCAGGCATTCTTCGGTGGCGTGGTGTCAAGCGAGCTGCCCTCGGAGCAGAAGAGACGTGGAATTTGATGCTCGGTCCTTTCCAATGCACTCACACCGTGGTTTGCTCTCGTCTGTGTTTCATATTCATTTCTCCGTCGGAGAGGGATTGTGTGGGTGGATCTGGAGGAACAGGGTTGAGAAGCTCACAACAGTAAATACTGCAGATTGAAGTCTAGCAGGTCATTTTTACATTAACGCATTAAGGAAATCTATTTTATTGTCTTTCTTTGAGTTATACGTGTAGATATAAGTGTCCCCATAGATTAGAGAGATAAGATTTAATTCTTACTGAACGTCGCGTATTTGGCAAGGGATATGAGGTATTTCCAGCTTGTTCATTGTTATTGCACTTTCTTTCCTCCTTCAACTCATTTGTTTGTGTTTAGCTTAATCTTCATACTGCAGTTTTTCAGAACAAGTCTCCAGGTATCTATTGCATAAATCCTCCTAATTTGTGTGTGAGACTGTGTGAGAAAGAGAGAGGCTGTGTGTAAAGTCCTTAGCCAACATCAAGACAAGGCTATGATGGATGTGGGAATGAAAGATCACATCTGTGTATTTTCCATTTGTCAGTGGTGGATCAACACATCTGGTTATTAATTATGGCCAATATTAGAACATTCTATACAAATACCAGACTTCTTTCAGGAAAATGCTGTGTGTCTTGGCGCTGAGCTTCTGTCTTTGTGTTTTCCTCGTTGAAGATGTGAGTCGGATAAAGAGCTACACTTTTGATTGGTTGCTGATCAAGTCAAACACAAAGGTAAAATATTGCACTTTGTCTTTATGTAAGGCTGTCAGTGTGTTAAAAATGTAATCCAATTCATTTGATGATGTGCTGATTAACCCAGCTGACAATTTTATGTTCTCGTTTTCTTAATATTTCCATTATGTTATGAGTGAGTTCTGTGAAGTTTAAACCAGCATTTTTTATGTTTAAAAATGTTTTTTCTTTGGTTATGTGGAGAAATAGCAGAATGTTATATCAACAAACAAAAAAAAATGAATTGCATATAAATGCAATTTTGATGAGAAAAGCCCTAAAATGAAGATAAGTCAAAATTAATACATTATTGCAGCAGACAAGTAAACCATTGAATGGACAAAATTCCATTGAATTGAACATAAACCTATTACTTGCAGTCCACAATGATCTGTTTTGCTGCACTGTAAAAAAATATGCTTTATAAATAAAATTTTGGCAACAGATTACAAGCAATATTATTAATTGAATTAAAGAAATTAGAATTGAGTAATTATTAATTCAAATTAATTCCTTAAAAGTTAGCCATTTAAAATGAGTAAAGTTTACACCCAAAAAAATAACAAAACTATCTGAATAACAGACAGACGTCAAAGTTTAATTAAGAACTATTTATATTTATATAAGACACCTGATTTTAACAAGCCGAATCACTAAAGGAGGAAAACATAATTTTAAAACAATCCTAAAAAAAACACAGATCACCATAATGGTGATTTAAATGTATGTATTTTTTGTTTGTTTGTTTGTTTGTTTGTTTGTTGTTGCTGTACGTTTTACTCATTTTAAATGGTAAACTTTTAAGCAATTAATTTGATTAATAATTACTCAATTCTAATTTGTTAAATTTAATTAATAATATTGTTTGCAATCTGTTGTCAGAATGTTTTGATTAGATAAAGCATATTTATTTTTACAGTGTTGATCAAGCCCAATTGAATACAATTTTTGGATACAATAAAAAAACACAAGGATATTTTAAATAGTTTTTGTTTAGTTCTTTAGTTATGCAAGATTAAAGGTTCATAGGTGCATTGTTTATATTGTAAATGAACTACATTAACATGTTAAATCGACAGCCTTTAATGTAAAGTCAAATGGCTGCAACATAACAACTGACGGTGTATATTGTCTTCAGTTTCATCTTTTGTTTTGAGCAGGAAGTTGTCCTGGCCTGGACAGCACAGCTGCAGATCATAAGAGCGGCGATATTTACAGTTCAGGATCATTCTGACGAGGGCAAAGAAAGGCCATAAATCTCCCTGCGTGCTGTCCGTCCATGAGCCAGCATAACAACAGCAAAAGAGAACTTAACGGGAACCGCTGTCACATTCTGAACTGAAAATATTTTCATTCCTGAGACAAGGACACCGTGTCCAGCTCAAGGGTCATTTGCCCCCTCCCGTCCCCACATACTGACACTTACAAACACGCGCTCAAAATTGCATATACCATTTCTAAAAGCATCGTGGGTCTTTTTTGGAAGACCTTCTTGCGTTTTCTATGAGAAGGCGAGCCCCTCCTTCCCCTCAGTGTCCAGGCCATACTCCCTGGCATTTCCCACTTTGCTGTGGCCAGTTGTTGTTGGTGGACTGAAAACCGGAGGAAAATAAAGAGATCTAAATGTCAGCAGGGAAGTGCAGTGCATTCCGCGCCCCTGCATCTCCTGAGCGGTCACCTAGAACAGCGTGTGATCCCAAGACAAAGCTGCCCACAGCTGAAGGTGGGGGTGGAAGTGGAGACATTACCCAGAAAGCAAGCCTGCGGGATTGTCACCGAGTCCAGCAGAATATCTCTCTGGTCCATCTCTACCTGCGGGGGCTGGGCCACTTTTCATTTAGATTCTTTTACGGGATATTGCGTTTTTCTGGGTCGGAATGACGAGGGACCGGTGGTGACATAAATGGAGGAAGCTTGAAAGAGAGAGCGGAAGCCTCCGACACATACACACATACACGCAGCTGTTCTTTTCATGCACACACACGCTGTACGGACACATAATGAAAATACATGGGAAGACTAGATGGAGATTTAAAGGTGTGTACTGTACACTGCAGGACATTTTCTTCCTTCCCAAGCCTTTTTTTTTCCCTCAAAGGTGTTTTCAGCGGGAGCATGAAAGATGCATGAGGAAGAGAAAGGTCACCGCTGAAAATAAAATAAAAAAAATAAAGACCTTTTTGTCGCAGCACGAGCGAGAGAGAATGGTAATTTTATTTAGTCTTTTATTTCTTTTTTTTGTCTCTCTGACAGTTTGTTGGCAAATGAGTGAGGCGTAAAAAGGGACCCCTCGGCTTGGCAGTTCATCGAGCGGCACGTCACTCTCGAATTAGCTTTGTTTCTTAAATGCTCTCGTAAGCGAACGCCAAACTCTTAGTTCCTTTGTGAGCTCCAGAGATCATGAATTCCTTGTTTATGTGAACTTGAAAAGATGCTGGCGCATTTCATCGGAAGGCGATATTTACATACGGCGTGGCATGGCCGTGCATTTGATTTCGATCCGCAGTAGCCCAACTGATCCCCGTCCAAAAACACGCTCTTAGCCTCCACTGCATGGAATACATTATTCTATTTTACTCTATATTAGGTTTACCTCAAATGCAACACAAGTAAGCCAGTGCTAGATCTCTGAGCATGTGCAGAATATTATGTGGGATCTTTTGACTAAGGCATGGAGTTTTGACTAAAGCATTTAGCTCACCGCAAATGGTAAAAAAAATAACATTTACTACTACTGTGGATGTTTTTAGTTATTCTGCGCAGACCTTTCCCTGTGGGAACCTCATGAAAAAGTCCCAAATATCCAATGCCTGGTTGAATGAAGTAAAGTTTCTCCAGGAAACGAAGAAGATCTAGCTATATAGCATTGGGAAGATGTTTTGCAAAGTCTGGTCTTAAAGGGATAGTTTTTATCAAATTTTGCAAGCAATTATTTCCCATTGGGCCCTCTCAAGCTTTGAAAAGCATGTAAATGGTAGAAAAGAAATGTGTCCATATGTTGCATTTACTATATTGCATAGCTTTGTCTGAGGTATGGATTGAATTTAAGTCATAATTAACTGAAAAAAATCCTCTCCACAGAGATGCTAACCATTGTTACTGGATCATTGAGGTCCAGAAGTGAACCCTAAAATTTGTAAATGAATCATCATTGATAGTCCTGACAGACATGCGCTTAAGCTGTGGATTTGTACTTCCCCCTCTCTTTGTCCCTTTCTCTTGTATGTCCCTCTCTATTTCACTCCATTCTCCATCTGTATCTTCTGGTAACTCAAAGCTTGACCAGCCAGTCTGGTCTCACTGTTTCTTCTGTCCTGGATCATTTGCTGGCCAGCACCTGATACATGATACATCTTGCAGCCCCACCGCCTGGCTGTAATGTGGCCTTGCCAAATGGCCAGAGACCACCAATTCTGAAGGTCTCCATTGTGGATCAGCTGAACCTTGTCCAGGAGTAAAGTCTCTCTAATTAACCCCATATGCTTGTACAAAGTCCACATCCCACCCGCAGGCCAGCACTGCTTTAATATCAATGTCACCAAATCTTTGTAATTAGAACAAGGATTGTATTTCTGAGGGAAGAAAAAGTAAAATAAGTAGTTCAATGAAAAAAAAAATTCATGATTTGTTATCACAACATTTTTTTCTTTTGTCAAATCAACTTAGATAATTTATGTGGTTCAGAAAAAAATAACATTTTGTTGATTAAACCAATGTCCTTCGTTGTATTAACTTTTTCTTTCAATAAACGTAAAATTTGATCTCTTAAATGCCTGAATGTTTCGCCAATCATTAATACATATTCGGGTGTTTCGGATCTATATCTAACACGGATGGATCTCAAAAATGTTTTGAATATAAAACTGATATTAAAGTAACAATTACAGAAGCATATAATAAAGCATATTTTGTTACCTTTGGAGCTTGGAAGAGTTCAGTTTGAGCAGATGTTTTATACCATCAAAACTGTCCTCTTTTGAGCTCATTTCCAAGCGCATTCAGCATCTTGCTCATATTCATGATCAACCATATTCTCAAAACTATCATTTTCAACATCTTCAAAATCAACATTATGATCGCTGACAGCTTCTTCTCCAGATCCACCATCAAGTGAGTGTGACACTAAGATCTGTGTTCAGTACTTGCTCTGCAGTAAATCACTAAGCCATTTCAAGTTTCAATGTTCACTTCCTATTCTTTTGTTTTTTGCCTGCAGTAACTATGAGTGAAAATCACTTCATTGGGAATCAGACATTGCTATCTTGTGGAATAAAGGGGTTTTCCACTTATTCAGTCATCAAAGGTTCAATAATTGTTTTACAGAAAAAATAAAATAATATATATATATATATATATATATATATATACTTACACTCTTACACACCCTGGGTCGTTAGCGAGCCTATACAAATTTTACAAACAATGAATTAGAAAACAGACATTCTTTTATATATAAAAACAAATGCTTCTCATATTGTTTATAATGAATTGATTGATCTTACTTTAAAACATATATGAGGAGGAGGGTAGTGTATGACGTCCCGGGTCATTAAAGACCCATGGTATGTGTTTAAGGGTTAAGAGCAACCAGGTTTAACTTTTTTAAGTTAAACCAACAATATTTTGTTACAGTGTACAAACTTTCTATTCTTTCTTATTATGTACTTATTTATGAAGGGACCATGCACAATTTTTAACATAAAATTACCATTTCATGCATTTACACCGGATTTAGCCAGAGGCTATTTTTCATCCGTAGTCCCCCAGACAAGACAGAGCTAACAAAACATTACACAGACAATACCAATGTTCACATACAATAAATGCACACATACTGTCAAGGCCATAAAACAACATAAATAAATAAGTGGTCCCACTTTATATTAAGTGGCTTTAAGTACTATGTACTTACATTGAACAATAAGTACAATGTATTATTGTGTTCCTGTTGTATTGTAAAACACTTTTGCTGCTATTGAGGTGTGATACGGCTAAGGTTAGGGACAGGTGTGGTGGTATGGGTCGGTTTAAGGGTAGGTTAAGGTGTGAGGGGAGGGTCAACTGTGTAATTACAAATGTAGTTACATAAATTAATTATAGCTGGAATTACTTGTACACAATAATTCCATTGTATCAAATTATTAATTTCAATGTAAGTACATAGCACTTAAAGCCACTTAATATAAAGTGGGACCAAATAAGTAAATCAGTCAACCAATCAATTTAACTACAACAATCTCAATGGTTACATAATTTGTTCAATTTTAAAAACGATTTTAGCTTCAGTTTAAAAAGACCATGCGCTTTACACCCTTTTATGTCCTCTGGTAGGGCATTACACTGATTAGTGGCTCTCACTGCAAAAGATGATAGTCCAAAAGCGGAACGACGAAAGGGAACCAGACAGTTACTCATAAGTGATAGTCTGGTAGATCTCACAGAGGTTTCACAATGAAGATTAATAAAATCACATAATACAGAAGGAGCCAAACCATTTAAGATTTTATGAACCATACACAAATTGGAATAAAGTCTAAAATTGTCAAAGGTAAGAAAATGATGTTTCTCTATAATTCTACAAAATGAAAATGGTTAGGTTTTTTATCAAAAAATGTTAATGTTTGCTTACGTATATAGAGATTTTAAGGGTTTAATAACAGTTTCTCCCGCTTGACCCCAACATGTCAAGCAATAAGACATGTGAGAAAAGATTGTAGCATGCATAAAAGCCGTAGCTACATCAAAAGAAAGACATTGTCTTATTTGTCTAAAGTTTGCCATATTATATTTAATATTCCTCACCATTTTCTTTACCTGTTTTTTGAGGTAAACTGAGACTTGAGTCCAATATTATACCAAGATAATTGAGCTCATTTCCTATTTCTAACTTTTCACCATTTATAATAATATTAACATCAGGAGATTTAACATTTGTTTAAGTTACATGTAAGTAGCATGTTGTCACACTATTTGGGGTCAAATTCTAACAAGAATCAAGAACAATATGCTAAAATTCATGAAATTTGAAAAACTAATTCAGAATAAAAATTACAATACGTGCAGGTGACAATTTACCTAAAAAAAATTGTGATATGTCAGTTTGTCATTAAAATTAAAAATAAAAGTTTAAATGTGACTTGTTAATTTCTCTAGTTTGCCAGATTTATCTACAAAAAAAAAATAAAATAAAAAAAAATTAGATGAGAATTATTCTAAGTTTAGATGGTTTAAGGGTTGACCAATGTTTGAAACAGACATACAAAACAAGTAAGCATTTGTGTTTTTGGACCTTTGACTCAAAACTGTACAGTTACTAAGATACAGAAATATGCCTTTTATGAACAACATATAATTATTAAATGCTTTTATTCCAATTATTACTTAAGAACAAAAAATAGACTAGGAGGTCAGAGACAAAAACAAACTTGTAAAGATGAATAAAGCAGCAGTGCTTTTTTTTTATTATTCAAATAGCGGCTTAATGTGTTCTGTGGATTAACAAAGTCACAAGCTTTGGACACGGGTCAGTGTGTGTGAAGGCAGCCATCAAAAGCTTTGGCCAGCAGTTGTCCTGGGTGCTCTCTCTCTCTCTCTCTCTGATGAGAAGAGTGATGCTGTGGTTGCAAATTAGCCTTGTGAAATCGGGGGGGAAAAAACACTTGAGAGTGAGAGAAGAGGTGAGGTGAGGCTGCAGGCCTGCAGGTCTTGAGCTACAGTATCTCTACATCAAATTCATAAAAAGATAAAGGGGAAGACCATTTCCAACAGTTTAAGTTTCAAGAACATAATAAGTTGATTCATATTTACATCCATTGTGCTCATACATATGTATCTTACTAGTCTTGAATATTAATTTACTTTAATTTTCAGCTTCTAAGAATTCACCAGCACATCATTAGAATTTCTATGATGATGATCTTAAAATTTAAAAAAATAAATAAAAATCGTACCAACCTCCCACTATCTAAAAGACTGTATAGCAATGTAACAGTGGTCCATTTTTCTAAAGCTGCCTTTTGAACATCCTTTTAAAAGAACCGGTAACTGTTGCAGTCTGTAATTAAATGAAATCACCAGTCTTTTTGTTCATTCTCAAAGGCCAAGACACACAATGCAGGAGTCTTGACTGGTGTGGCTTCAGGGCGCTGTGAGGGCGAACGCTTAGCTGAGCACAGGTGCTGGACTGTCTGTATTTAA